CCCCCATCCCCCCAACGGCCCGCTTCTCCCCGCTGCTTGCAAAATGCAGCAAAAACACTTGACGGCACAAAATCCGACATCAGAGGAAACGTTGTGGTTGCCAGAAATTTTTGTGTCCCATGTCGTGTCAGATTTTTCAGCTTGCAACTTGCATTCATTTCTTCTTCTTTTTTTTTTTTTTTGCATCAGCACCTTGTAGGTGGTACAGTCACAACAAAAGTGCAATCTTTTTCATGAAGGAGCAAACATCCTGCATACTGACTACTGAATTATCATTGGGAAAAAAAATATCCATTTTTTTGGTTAGAAAAAAAAACTTAACAAACAGTGTCTTTTTCTCTTTACCTCTTTCATTAACAATTCCTCAGCCTCTGCTCTGGTAATATGTTTGTTGTACCATCTGTACAATGAACCACAAATACAACAATTATTCAGAAAATAAAAGACTTTCAGGAGAAATGTGATAAATAGTTTTCTTTTAAAAAGTACAACTCACTCAAATCGCTCAAAGTTGTTGCCAGCTTTTTCAGCTACGTACGTACTTGGCACGAAACCTTTTTTACTGATGAGCAACAACAACAATATAAACTTTGTGAGAAATCAATTATTTTCATTTTAAACACCCACACCCCACATGAGAGAGGCTCAACATTGCCCATAAAAAYTGGGCAGTCATTGAATTTCCTYTGCCTRCATGYGTGTTTATTTGTCTGTTTGYAAAATATTTCATTATGACAAAGCAAATTTTATTGAAAAATTCAGAAACTTAGAAGTAAATCTAACTATGATTAACTTTTGGAGTTAGTCCACTTTGGCCAGAACAGCCAACTGGTTATTAGAAACACAAAAAAGGCCTAAAACCTTGGCATKAACTGTTGATATTAACACAGTCTGTTGGTAAAATATCTCATGAGCCATTGCGTGGCGTTTCAAGGAAACTCTCAGAAAGTGATCACATCTACAASTGSAGTCRRTCCAGCTGAAGATGGCTGCCACAGCTATTCAAACTGACCCAACACATGAGTGGCTACAACTCAGTTTTACAGATAATGAGCTAAWGTTTGGTGTGGTAGTAGCTGAGACTCTRAAACGTGTTGCATCTCTTGCACGTGACCATGCACAATATCATTTACAAGGTTTGAGCAAAAGAGATTAAATCCTGTCACTTCTCATCATAAAATGATTTGGCGGGTGCCGTGTAGTTTTTCAAGTATTGCTAGGCTAGTATGCTAGTAATTTGGAGGGAGTTTTCGGCCTTACCCCGTGTCATCCTGCACCATCCACCACTCCAGGTGGGAGCTGCTGATCAGCAGGTATTCCTGATCTTTCTGAAGAGGCAAATCGTCGTCTCCCTGCGGTTTGTAGTCCTGCAGGGCGATGACCAGCTGCTTCCCTGAATTTAGCAGCTCCGTCTGGCCAAAGATAATTTTATTACAAAATATTAATAACTTTTTAAAATAAATAATGTATTATCTGATAATATGCAGTTGAGTAAAAAAAAGAAAAGAAAAGAGTGGAACGAGCATGTGATTTCAAGTTTTCCCCTCATTGATTTAAGCTGGAGCGAAATTGAAGTCTGAACGTAGAAAAGGTACGAGATTTACAGAAAAAAGCCTTGATCCCATGGTTTGAGCAACAGAAGAACGACTTGGGGGAGCGCATAAATCATCTGTAATGAAACCACAAGCACGGCGGTTAAGTGCTCTTTTATTTATCTATATCACAAGAAGCAAACTTTTTTCAAAATTTTCTTTATTTTTATAAGTGGTGAGAAAGAAAACCTGAGTAATGCTTTGATTGGTTAGTTTGTTGCAAATCTTGTCCATGTCATCAAGAGAGGTGTCAAGTTAGTAATTATTTTATCTTACTTATGAAGAATTTTGATTATTTGATTATACTTTACTGGAGTAATAATTTTTGAATGAAGATGACCGTGGCAGAGAGATATTTGCAGCTGAAACACGTAGTCTACTGCATCCATATTTTTCAACAATATTTTCTTGCATAGTCATTATGGACTTTAGAAAAATCTTTTTTGTGGAGGTGGGGTTGTTGCACATAGGCCCCTGTGGTGCAGACTAAGATTTTGTCTTAATATCTATTTTTTTCTTTACACTACTTTTTCTTTTATACTGTAAGTAGTTTTAAACAGTACTTTTATACTTTTACTTGAGCAAAAAACTTGAATTGGTACTTCATGTTTTACAGAAGTCTTTTAAAACCCATTCTATACTTCTACCTGAGTACGAATATGAATAATTTAATTAATAATTCATCAACAGTCATGTGTTACAGTGCGATACCTCTGGATCTGGAAGTTCAGGAAGTGGCTTTTTAGAAGCTGTGGAGAAAACAGAAATTTGAAATGACCTTTTTTTTTATAGGAGCAAAGGTTACATAACGCAAACTTTTTATTGACATAACAGCTCACAGTTTTAGATGGAGTCTAAAGTTCATAAAGCTCATAAAACGTCACGCTCTGCTGTCGAATTAAAATATGTTGAAAATGCGCACAGAAGAAAAAAAAAGAAGATACAAACCGTAACCCACGGGGTCGTATGGCTGACAACCAGTCGCCAGCTTCTCCGTCTGTTGGCAGCATTTCCATTTCCCATCCAGCCAAAAGTTTGGGTGGAACTTCACAACTAAGTTGTTGTGCTTGGTCTCTGTGTTTGAGAAAGAAAATGAACAGACAATAAGCCCACAGTTTAAAAAACAATCTTGTAACAGATATGCGTTGGGGTTCAGAAACATTCGCAGGCCTTTTACCCTCTTTCAGAGCTCTGACCCATCTCTGCCGGCAGTCGTTGTCTGGGGCAAAAATGTAGAGATAGTAGGAGTCATGAAAAACCTGTTGGGACATTCATGTTAGACACAACAATACCGTAGAAGTTCGTTCATAACACMCCAATTATGTTCTTTTGTCTGTTTTGTGCTCTTTTTTCTTTTGCTCAAATTAAAAGAAGCTTTGATTTGGCAATAAAACAACTAAAGTTGTGACATAGCGTTAAAGCACGAAATGACGATTTTTACCTGAAAAGGGTACTTGTAGTTGCACGGTATGGGAATGTCGCTGCACACAATCTCCACACACTTAATCCTGGACAGTTCGATGCAACCTTTCAACATGGGCTTCTTCTGCAAGGACGTACTCTTGATGTCAGATCAACACTGTGGAMAGCAGGCCGAGCAGAACTTCACGTATAAACTTACCCCCGGGCGGCGTTCAGAATACTTCAGGTCTTTAGTGTCCAACACAAAGAACCTCTCCTTGTAGTTACTTGGTGATATTCTTTTCTTCTGTTGGGATTTTTTGATCATCGTTCCCTTCAGAATCACCCTGGGGAACATTGTGAGGACAACCGAGAACACAGCGAGCGAGGCTGACTGGTTTTGTCATGAGTAGGGAGCAAACGGTGCGTCTCGCAGTGACAGGAGAAGAAGAAAATATAAAGTTGTGGATGATAAACTTCATAGACGCGGCGGAGCTTCCGGCATGAAGTTGTTGCACGCAGTAAACCACATCCTTGCGGCAGCAAAAACACACACACACACACACAGTTGTGCACACAAGCATACACACTGTTCATAACAGTGTACATGTACTTTCATTTACTTACTATTCATTCACTTTTATTTCCAAAAAGACTAATCTGACAAAATTCTGGTAGTAATTTTGTGTTATATTGATGATGAATTTAAAAAATCATGAAAGAGTAAAAGAATATGCACATATATGCAAAACATCTGTTTCAAGATTCAACCAAAACAAGTGTAACTCTGTCACTTCTTATCATAAAAGGATCTTGATTTAAAACTCTGTCATGACAGATGCTGATCGATACGCATTTAATTTATAGATTTTAAAAATGACAGTATTTCTATGGAGTGCCAAGTGTAAAATAAAATGTTAAAAAATGTCACATAAATGTTTTCGTTATTTAGCTCAATTTCTGAGTGTAAAATCCTAGTTTAAAAATTTCCACTAACGTTATTGTTATTGACTAAACGTTAAATGTAAATATGTAAATGCTGAATCCTAAATCTAAATATAAAAAAATAAGTTTTAAATGTTGCAGCTGAAAGATAAAATTTATTTTTAAGAATTTCAGAAAGGAACAAAGCCTTTACTGTCGGTGTGCGGCTTTTGTTATGATGTCATCATCCTGCGACAAGAGCAAATGCTGTTGAAGATGGTATTTAAAATTTAAATTCAAAATGTGTAAATTGAAAACAATATGGATGGTGCCTGTGGTCCGCCAGTTTGAAGTGCAGCTTGGACACTGGCCGCAACTGCAAGTTTGACGTCTTGTAGGGAAATGTTAGCAGTGTTAGTGTTAGCATTGTTAGCAGCATTAGCAGTTGCTTTTGTCGCAGGATGATGACATTGTAACAAGAGTCAAGCACCAACAGCAACGGCTTTGTCCAATTCTGAAACACTTAAACGTGAACTTTAACATTACATTTACATTTACTGTTACATTC